ATTCCCTGACCACATGGTCCTTTGTTGACAACAATGTCACATGATCTCTTTTGGGCGGGAAAATACTGGGGAATACCTAAATAACAGACAAACATTGTCTGGTTATTTTTAGACGGTTAGATCTGGGATAGGAGTTTCCTTATCCTAAAACTCATTTAAAGTAAGAAAAGAGTAAAACTGGATATATAATTCCTTTACATAATTGTATTGGAAAAGAGGGGAGTTAATTTAATAAAATTCTACATAACACATATGATTTTATAAATTGCTAGATTGGCTTAATTTGGTTGAAATGACTGAAATTCTGCTGAATATTTTTTTTTATTATTAATTTCTTTATCTTTTTAGATCTTTTTACCATGTGGTTTTCCATAAGACAATTTAGATAAAATTTGTCAGAATATTCCTGCAATCTGGGAAGCCACATCAGGTGTTTACTCTCCCTGTTTAATATGTTCCTACAAGTGTGGTGACCACTAATAGGACCAACTACAAAATGTACGTGAGACCCCTTTCCAAATTAGCTATATACATGTATATGACAAATACATGTAAGGCATATAATTAATAATTCATGCACAAGGAATCGTTTTGACAACACAACACAAAATCTCTGATTTGAAACTTTCTCCCCCACCCTTGATTTTCATTCTGTGGTGAACCCTGAATACTGCTTATTAAGTCTCCCAAACGAAGTTTTGGAAGACTTGTTGTTTTTGCTCAGTTCTAATTATTATTATTATTCTTATTCTTCTTCTTCCGCCGCTTTTAAATTTGAACTTGTCCCCACCCGTTCTCCAAAACCGCTTGTCAGATTAACTTAGGGTTTCACAATATGTTAGACTAACATGTCTAGTGGTGCAATCAGGGTTTTGTTTGTGCAATGGGGTTTATAAAGGGGTACTTTGAGGGGCAAAAAGAAAAGAGGGTTATACTATAGAACCCTATGGGATTTTATTTTTTTAAATTTTCAAATGATTATAAATTGAAAACCGTTTGTGATAGCACAATCTCTTTAATTGAAAATGTTTTAAATGATAAAGCCCATTAAATGAAATACAGGGTTAGTCCCCAGGGGTCACCCCCACCCCCTGCCATTTAAGAAAGTTCTAATACCTTGTAAGTGGTCAAGATCCCCACCCCTAAACCATATATATTTTGGTTTGAATGATATACAGGGTTAGTCCCCAGGGGTCATCCCGACCCCCTGCCATTTGAGAAAGTTCTAATATCTTGTAAATGATCGAGATCCCCACCCCTAAACCATATATATTCTGGTTTGTCGTGATAAAGCACATCAAATGTAAAACAGGGTTAGTCCCCAGGGGTCACCCCCACCCCCTGCCATTTAAGAAAGTTCTAATATCTTTTAAGTGGTCAAGATCCCCACCCCTAAATCATATTTATTCTGGTTTGTCATGCTAAGATGGTTTGAATGATATACAGGGTTAGTCCCCAGGGGTCATCCCGACCCCCTGCCATTTGAGAAAGTTCTAATATCTTGTAAATGGTCGAGATCCCCACCCCTAAACCATATATATTCTGGTTTGTCATGATAAAGCACATCAAATGAAATACAGGGTTAGTCCCCAGGGATCACCCCCTGCAATTTAAGAAAGTTCTAATATCTTGTAAGTGGTCAAGATCCCCACCCCTAAACCATATATATTCTGGTTTGTCATGCCAAGATGATTTGAATGATATACAAGGTTAGTCCCCAGGGGTCATCCCGACCCCCTGCCATTTGAGAAAGTTCTAATATCTTGTAAATGGTTGAGATCCCCACCCCTAAACCATATATATTCCTATTTGTCATGTCTCGAACATTTGAATGATGTATACGGTCAGTCCCCAGGGGTTCCCCCCACCCTCAATGTTCTAATATCTTGTAAATGGTTGAGATCCCCACCCCTAAACCATATATATTCCTGTTCGTCATGTAATGAACATTTGAATGACATATAGGGCCAGTCCCCAGGGGTTCCTCACCACCCCCAATGTTCTAGTATCTTGTAAATGGTCGAGATCCCCACCCCTAAACCATATATATTCTGGTTTGTCATGCAAAGATGATTTGAATGATATACAAGGTTAGTCCCCAGGCATCACTAATACATATAACTTTACTGGACCAAACCAATTTTCACTGGATGTTGCCCAATGTCAGGCGACCCTGGGAATTTTGAATTATGGGAGCTTCGTTTGGGAGACTTCGTAACAGCATCCTGTTACAATCATTTCTTGTTAAATATTGAAATCAAATGTGTAATCAAGCACTGCTCTCATGTCCTTACTGAAATATCTCCCTGTCATGGGAACACTCCATATTCGTTGCTTTTGTGGTTAATGGCGAAGGTCCCACAAGAGAGATTTCGAAAGATCTTATTTAGTCCCAGACAAGTTTATGAACATTAATTTACGTTTACTTTTAATATGAAGCTGTCGTGAAAAATGTTTATATATCAGGTACAAATGTATATGGTTGCATGTCATTAACCTAACAGTGAGCACATTAGTTTCATTCCAGGCATTTGTTTTTTCAGTGTTTATTATCCTTCACTGTTATAAAACACTTTTTATACGACCGCAAAAAAATTTTGTGGTCGTATATTGGTATGACGTTGGCTTCGTCGTCCGAATACACATTGGTTTTCGCACTCTAACTTTAGTTTAAGTGAATGGATCTCTATGAAATTTTACCATAAGGTTCAATACCACAAAAGGAAGGTGGGGATTGATTTTGGGGGTTATGGTACCAACAGTTAAGGAATTAGGGGCCAAAAAGGGGCCAAAAATAAGCATTTTTGTAACTTCCAGACATAACTTGTGTGTTAGTGTATGGATCTCTCTGACATTGTACCACAAGGTTCCATATCACAAAGGGAATGCTGGGATTGAATTTTGGGGTAATTGCCTCCAAATTTTAGGAATTAGGGGCCAAAAAGGGGAAAAAAACAAGCATTTTTCTAGTTTCATGACAATAACTTGTGTGTAAGTGTATGGATCTGTCTGACATTGTACCATAAGGTTCCATATCACAAAGGGAATGCTAAGATTGATTTTGGGGGTAATTGCCTCCAAATTTTAGGAATTAGGGGCCAAAAAGGGGGAAAAAACAAGCATTTTTCTAGTTTCATGACAATAACTTGTGTGTAAGTGTATGGATCTCTCTGAAATTGTACTACAAGGTTCCATATCACAAAGGGAAAGCTGGAATTGATTTTGGGGGTAATTGCCCACAACGTTTAGGAATAAGAGGCCAAAAAGGGGCCAAAAATAAGCATTTTTCTAGTTTCCAGACAATAACTTGTGTTCAAGTGTATGGATCTCTCTGAAATTGTACTGCAAGGTACCAAACCACAAAGGGAAGGCTGGGATTGATTTTGGGGATAATTCCCTAGAAATTTGAGGAATTAGGGGCCATAAAGGGGCAAAAAAACAAGCATTTTTCTAGTTTCAGGACAATAACTTGTGTGTAAGTGTATGGATCTTTCTGAAATTGTACTGCAAGGTTCCATATCACAAAGGGAAAGCTGGGTTTGAGTTTGGGGGTAATTGCCCTAAATGTTTAGGAATTTGGGGCCAAAAAACAAGCATTTCCAGACAATAACTTGTGTTCAAGTGTATGGATCTCTCTGAAATTGTACAGTTCATACATGTGAACCTCCCGACGGGAGTACAATAATCCCGTTTTCAGGGGTCTCCTCCCGACCTCCCGTTGAAGACAAAAAAATGTCGTGTATGAAATATTTCATGAATGAAAAATTTCAGCCAAACATATCTGGTGTAACTGACATTACTGAAGTTATATTTTACCTGTAAATCAATTAAAATGCATAATTATATGGCCTCACTTGTCACCTTGGGTGTCAAACATACTGGTAATAAACGATTTTTACCTCAAGCTAACTGCCGTTGTGTAATAAAACTTTGTTTATCTAAAATGAATGTTGGGTTACTTCCCTTGATTTATCCTGTTTTAAGTTACTTTCCTTTAAATAATGTAAATTTTTAAAAGAATATAAATAAAATATAAATTGAACAAAAAATCATAAAAGGATGGTAATTAAATGATTTTAAATGTTTTAGGACAAATAAAAAAATAATAATTTGAAAATTATTTGAGGGTTCTATACTTCCTTTCAAGGCTTAAATTGAAATTTATATAATAACTATGACCCATGATTACAGTTTGAATGTGTTACTTATCATGCATTAAAAATCTACTTGCATAAAGATAAAAATAAAAGATCTACTTGCAGATAGATAAGCAAATGTTCTGATTGCAATGAATAATGGTAAAAAAAGATATGACCTAAAAAATTTAAAGAACATACTGAAAAAGAAGAATGTTAGATTGAACAAGTTGAAAGTTTAAAAAGATAGAGAAAATTTATAAGTACAAAGGTACTATAAACATAATACATTCGGATGGAAAGTTGAAGAAAACACACTTTAACAGACAATTTCTACAGCACACGGTTACATTTACGACAGAATTTATGTCGATAAAAAACATCTGATCTGAGTCCTAATCTCCAAAACTCCTGATCTTAGTTTCACAGTCCATCACATGTACATGTATGTGTACTGCAAGGTACCATACCACAAAGGGAAGGCTGGGATTGAGTTCGGGGATAATGAATCATAAGGGGGTTCAAAAAATTTGGGGGGGGGGGGGGGTTTCCTTTTTTTCTTTAAAATTTTCCATTTTAAATTGGTTATTTCTGATTTATATATAAAAGCAAATAATAATGATATGGTTTGAACAGATAAATTAAAAATTTTTAAGTTCTTAGACCACATTTATTCTGTGTCAGAAACCTATGCTGTGTCAAATATTTAATTACAATCCAAATTCAGTGCTGTATCAAGCTTGAATGTTGTGTCCATACTTGCCCCAACTGTTCAGGGTTCGACCTCTGCGGTCGTATCAAGCTGCGCCCCAGCGGAGCATTTTATTCAAATAGCCCTTGTTAAACCCAACATATTTTTTACAGAAAATGTCTGGTCGAGCTCGAGGTAGAGCTCGGGGTAGAGCCCGTGGAGCAGATCAGACAGAGCCAGCCAGAAGACCTGGAGAAGGGGAGTCGAAGTCTATGCCAGTGAGTATAATGCAGATGTGGAATTTGCAATCAAAAGCTAATAGCCTATTCGGGCTGAAAGTTCTAACATAAAAAAATCTATTACAGTATTAGCCCTGATTGAAAAACCCTTCAATTTATGTCATATGTAGGAGCAAAACACTCATGTTAATTTTACTGTAGATTGGCCAAAAAAAAAATATTTGGAAAAATATTTACAGACTATGAACAGAAATGTCTGGATTTTAACAGCGCTTAACAAGAAACGTCACTGAAATTGTGTTTGGTCTGAGCAAGCCTTTTTAAATGGGACATAAGGGACTATCTTAAACTTAAAAACAAATCAAAACATTTACTGGCAGATGTGTAGAGACAAAAAAAATCTAGATGAAACAATGTACAGAAAAATTAGTTGTTGGCAGTTGATACATTTACATACAACATGGCATTATAAACAAAACAACTCAAAAATATTTGGTTTACAGATCGAATAAAATTTGCAAGTTATTCACCTGCAAAAATCTATTTTGAAAATTATTTTGAATTCATAATGCATTGAACTAGGGCTGTTTATGTACTTGTCTTGCAGGCTCCTACTTCATCAGCTCCTGCTCCTGCACCTGCAGGAGGTCCTCCGGGGCCTAGTGGTAGGGCTACCTATAGAGGTGGAGCTGCTGTCCCACGTCCAGGTATGGGAGGGGGCGAAGGCCAAGTTCCAGCTGATGAACTTGCAAAGATGAGTATTGGGACTGGTGATGCTAGTCAGGTAACTCAGAAAAGGAGACCTCGTTACACTGATCCAGAAACAAAGCCTGCATGGATTACGGACAAAAGAGGTAAAATCTAAGGCCTAATGGTCCAAATTGAGTCCAACAAATAAACCGACTGCAGAGAATGATGTGTTTTATTCAAATCCCAGCTTGTTTTTCTTAAGGGCTGGTCTGAGTTCTTGCTGTCCTACATGACTAAATATAAGCATCTGAAGTCACTGGATTCACTTGAATTGCAATTTGGCAAAAAAAAATTGTCAATTTTAGCAATATTTAATGAAAGAATATGTTAAATAACTTGAATGCGTTAAAAATATAAATGATTGAATCTGAGTGATCTTGAAAAATTTTAAATAAAATATTGAAATGTAATTTTACAAGGGGAGAAATTCAGGCTCTTGTCAACTGCATATCATAATTTTTTCATAGATCACTTATTATTGTAGGCCTCATGGAAGGATAAATATAACATCACTTACCAGTAAGACCTGTTTCAGAATTAATTGTATGGGAGGCACTTCTTTTAAAATTTGATGGGTGGTAAATTTATAAAGATAGCCTGGACATATATAGTAAATGATCAATTAAAATTTTGGGCATGGCATGGTCAAATAAAAAAGTGCTTTCCATTCCCCCTACATTTATTTCTGGAACAGATTCACAAATGCTCAATTGATTAGGAATTACTTTTGTGCACCAGCACTTCAATTTTGCTGAAACTTGATTTTATGAAGAAGAAAAAAATTTAACTTCAGGAGATTTGGATTGGTTGCAAACGAGACAACTATCAACACAGGACAAGAATGTCACTAACTACCAAGTTTCAGTACGGCCTTCAACAAAGAGCACAACCCATGCTGCATAGTAAGCTATAAAAGGCAAACTGTTAAAAGGCTTGTATAGTCCGCTGTTTTATTCTCCAAAATTGAACCTGCCAGAAGGGGTGCTGACTATAGAGTACAATAAGCAAGAAATAAGAGGAAAAAAAATCGTGAGATGGTTTGTTTACGTTCCGCCATGTTTGTTATTGATATTGTAGAGGGCCCTCTTATCATTTTTCAAACTAATAATTTTACCTAATCCATATTAATAAGTTATTTTTATTCAATATCAAATTAAAACTGATAAATTTAAAAGTTAAACACTTCATTACAAATTTCTTGTTTCTTTTCAATGCATTGATTAAAATAAACTGGTATCTGCTTGAATGAAACAATACAAAAAAAGTTAAAAAGACAACTGTAAACCAGCTTACGATGTGTAAATTACAAAACGTAATCGGTTAATATTCGTTCGGTTTCCGTGTTTCATACTGACAAATGTGTTTTATATTAGCTTAAAACCCTTCAAACATTAATGTAATAGATATATTTAACACTTTTTTACATAAAGATGGAACTGTTTTACTTTCAAAGTCGTATTATAGTGATATCTATGATGTACGGATTTCGACTCTCACCGTTTTTTTTCTTCTTTTACACATGCTATTCAAACTTCCAGTTTAAACACACACAAGTTTCTAAATTGTTTTTTGTGTGATTTAGACTTATTTTAACAATCGTTGAAGTGTTCTAGAATCATTTACAAGCAGTTTCAGCTTCTGTTTGATGATGGAAAACATGTTTTTCCAAGAAAATACCGCAAACGACCATGCACGATTTGAAATTACCGAAGTTTCATTAGACCTTTTCTAACAGTTACAAAAAGTTTTTTTACCTGAAATTTCGTGGGGAGAAGGGGGTGCAGACTATGTACAAGTCGGAACTATACAAGCCCGATTACGGTATATAAACTTGTAACATTGAAACCATAAACAATAGTGGCTGACTGCAACGAACAACAACCACTTGATTACAGTGCCCAGTGACAGGTACATGTAAAGAATGTGCTCACACAGAACTTTTGAAATAACGACACTTTTTTTCTATTCATAGGAACATCAGGGACAGCATTACCAGTGAAAACAAACTATTTCAGACTGGAATCCAAACCAGATTGGCATCTCTATCAGTACCATGTTGACTTCAATCCACCTGTGGACAGCAAGAGGTTGAAAATTGCCTTATTATTTCACCATGAAGAACTTCTTGGAAAGACGAAAGCCTTTGATGGAATGGTTCTGTTCTTGCCTCACAAACTACAGCAAAATGTATGTTGCAAGTGAATAATTCTGTTATTGATCAGATATTTTCTTAAAATATTATCTCGAACCGATCTTTTAGTTCTTCTAATAGATTTCTGTACATTTAACAGTCTTCACGTTTTACCACATGGCCAGCAGCCCAGGCTTGTAAAATTCCTTTCAGGCCTGTTAGAATCATCTCTATAGGCCAACAGAATCTAACTAAAATTTTCCAAAAGTTGAGCTGCGGGCCTGCAGATTTAAAAGTTTATCATGAAGATTGATTTAACAATGCAGCGTGGTTTAAATTAACCAGGTATATGTATGGGTTTCTTCTACACATTCATTTACATAAAACAATAGCACCCAATGTTGTAGAAGTCTTTTAAAGATATCCTATCTAAACACACCATCCCAATGTTACTGCTACAATCAGTTTTGGAACATTACTACATGTATATACAAGGTATTCTGTCTCAATCAAGGAACAGTGCTCATCCATTTAATTTTTAGGTAACTGAGGTATACTCAAAGAAGAATTTTGATGACACGCAGGTCCGAGTGACCATCACATTGACCAATGAACTACCACCCACTAGTCCTCAGTGTTTACAAGTGTTCAATATAATCTTCAGAAGGTAAGCATTATTTAAGTTGTTTGTGACACTATGTGAAATGAAATCTTTTCTCATTTTATAACATTTCAATATATGTCTCATTGTTGTTTGAATTAAGCATTATATTCTATTGCCAGTTGTATTATTAATTGTTCACATTTAACTTTGTTAATCTAATAAACTTTAAAAGAAAAATTGTTTCAACTAAGCAGTATGTATTTAACACCTAACAAGTGTTTAAATATCTTTAGGTCATTGCAGAAAACACCACCTGAGAAGCATGAGTTACTGTCTGTTTGTACAGTTAAAAAGTCTTCGAATACTATTCTTTGTATGGCAAAAATGTATATATAAATATTCTATATTTCAAATAACTTATGAAGAAACTTAGAATTTAAGTGTTCTGCCTTCCAGTTTGTCATTTGCAAATAATTTTATTACATTTTAGATAAATATAAAATAATTGGAAGAAAAACAGCTAAAATCAAGTGTAAGGAATGTATTGATATGGAATATTTCATTCCCTTGCTTGTATGTGAGATGTTCACTCGACACCTTCTTGAACGACATTTTTGATTTCAGGGTTCTAACGATGGTGGATATGCAGCTAATTGGAAGAAATTATTTCAATCCCAAATTGGCAGTTCAAATTCCACAACACAAGTAAGCCAATTTTATCCACAGACAAACAGTTTAATTATATATATATATATGATATGATTTTCTGAAATGCATATATATCAATTCGAAGTAACATTCCCATGGAATTAACATGAAATATGCATACTTGTAATAAAATATTAGGCCAAACAAAAAAGTTTTATGGTATCCTTTAGAAATGTATTGAAAGTAGGTAGGAATTATTTGTTATTTTAATCCCTGTTCAAAAGGAGGGGGCATACTGCCCAGGGGTTCAAATTAGCTGTGGTCCGAGGTCCGTGACCAAGTTTAATACAGGTTCGACCCTTCCTACCAGTAGTTAGATACACCCGACAGACTTTCATATTATTTCAGGTTAAAAATGTTACAAAAGCATTTTGAACAAAAAATATAAAAATCTTATATAAAAATATTCTTAAAATATGCAGCTTTACTGAAAGGAAACGTGTGTTTGCTTAAATTCTTCACAATTGATTTGATGTGTAGTCTCGTGACCGGTCGTTGTACAAGATATGGGGAAACTCGAGATAATAATAATAATTAATTTTAAAACATAAGATAACTAGTAAACAGTATGGGTCTGTTTGGTTTTGGGGTGACCTCTTCTAAAATAAAAACCTGATACAGCGGGGTTGATCAATGAAATGGCTTAACACAGCCCGAAAGACTGGATCTGACTAAAGACCAAAAATATGACAGGGAAAAACAAGAACTTAATTATTTTCCCTACACACACTGAAAGGGAAAGTGCCCTTATTCGTTGGACAAAAAAAAAACCTTAAAACTTGACCCATAAAAATCATGATGAAAAATTACCACCCAGCATCTACATGTATATATCTTGCCAAAAAAGTGGTTAAAAGAAACTGACCCCAATTAAGTTTGAAAACGAAGTTGAGCTGTTATCTGACACAAAGTAAGACCAGTGTGTTCTTAAGCAGCAATTGCAACCAAAACAAATAAAAAGGTACAAAGCGTTATTTAACACAGCGAAAAGGGGAAGAAGCCCTTTTCTGACTGAATTTAATTAAGAAATTCAGAAAAAAAATTATGTAGTAAGATATGATGAGTGCTTTTGAAAGTAAGCATTTTCTGTTTTTATGAATTGAATTTTCGGACCTAAGAATAAAGGAGGACCTTTAAGTATTTTTGGTCAAAGGTCCTGGACCTTCCATTGGCTAAAGTAAATTTGAACCCATGCTGGCAAACTATGTTGGTGTTTTCATCCGTCTTAAAAAAGTTTTCTACACACTTCCCTAGACTACAAATGGGCTTTCTAAAATTTGGGATTAAGCTTCATGTGAGAATGTTATACCCTATGATGCCTTTTCTCATCAAACACTTAACTTTCTGTTAACTGAATACTCATAACTTGTGCTTTTCTTTTTCACGAGTATATTTTGCACTTAATTAGCAATTAACTACAAAATATTACTAATAAAAACTAATTGCTAGACAATATTGTAAGAAGTTAATCTGCGCTGTGCTTGAGCCACATAATATAAAATAAGCAGATGAGGTATGATTGCCAATGAGAAAACTAACCACCGGAAACAAATTAACATAGATATTAGCCATTATAGGTTACCACATGTCCTTCAGCAATGAGTAAATAACAAAATGTAAAACAATTTAAATGAGAAAACCAACTGCCTGATTAAGTATGGAAAACAAATATGATATACAGCAACAAACGACAACCACTGAATTAGAGGCTATTGACTAGGGACAGGTAAATCTAGTTTTCAAGTTTTTGCACTGTTTGTATCTTTTAAAATGATTTTAGGAAAATATGAAATGTTATAAACATAAGGTAAATGTCAAACTATTTAATCTACTTTCACTTTCTATTTTCAGACTTGAAGTTATGCCAGGGTTTGTAACTTCCATACTGAGATATGAAACACAAACATTGCTGTGTGCTGACATTTCTCACAAAATATTACGAAGTGATACAGTCCTTGATATTATGTACGAGATGTACAATCGTTCGGCAGGAGATGCCTTTTATGAAAATTGTATCAGAAAATTTGTAGGATCTATTGTACTAACACGGTAAGTGATAATCTGTTCATTTTTTCTGCGGGTCATAATATTTAAGAAATAGTTCAATATGAATTTTTTCTCTATTTATAGACAATTTATACTTTCCCCAACCTAATTTATTATTATTTTATTTATATGATGCATATGTGGTTTCCTTGTTCTCCGTTCTTCATTGGTCAAAATTCAATTATGACTTGAAAATTTCTTGTTTTCATCTGATTTTTCTACTGTGACATTAAAAAAAAATCCATCATACTTGATACTTGAGGATGTGACATTAAAAAAAAAGCCACCATACTTGAGTATGTAACATTAAGAGCACAATCCTTTTGCTGATCAATGGAAAGAAAGACCAAGTTTGTATTTCTATTGTGGAAGAAAAACAAAGAAAAGATTATGAACGTGTCTGACGGATTTATTGAATTAAATCTAGTCTTAAACATGCATAACATATTTTATTTAGAAAACAAATCAAAGTACAACTGATGATGCATTTTATTTCAGATACAACAACAAGACCTATCGTGTAGATGATGTTGACTTCTAATGTATTTTATTTCAGATACAACAACAAGACGTGTCGTGTAGATGATGTTGACTTGTAATGTATTTTATTTCAGATACAACAACAAGACCTATTGTGTAGATGATGTTGACTTCTAATGTATTTTATTTCAGATACAACACCAAGACCTATCGTGTAGATGATTTTGACTTCTGATATATTTTATTTCAGATACAACACCAAGACCTATCGTGTAGATGATGTTGACTTCTGATGTATTTTATTTCAGGTACAACAACAAAACGTATCGTGAAGATGATTTTGACTTCTGATGTATTTTATTTCAGATACAACAACAAGACCTATCGTGTAGATGATTTTGAATGGGATTTAAGGCCCACATCAACATTTAAACTGCGAAAAGGAGAAGATATTTCCTATGTAGACTATTATAAGAAAAATTATTCCATAACTATTAATGACCTCAATCAGCCTTTGTTGGTAAGCAGACCCAAGAAAAAAGACATTAAAGTAGGAAGAACAGAAGTATTATACTTACTACCAGAATTATGCTGCTTGACAGGACTGTCCGACGAAGCCAGAGCAGATTTTAGTGTAATGAAGGATGTGGCAGCTCATACTAGAATTGCACCTCAGGGTAGAACCCAAACCTTAACCGACTTCATCAACCAGATCAACACGTAAGAATATTTTTACATTTACCTAGTGGAATAAGACTTGATTTCTTTGTGAACAAAATCTATTTTAATGAACCAGAAATTTGATGTATTGACTTCATTAAGAACATCTTAAAATCTTGGAATGAGAAATCATTTTATTTTTTACCTTTTATTTTAGCCTTTTTTGACAATAGATTTTAATTAATTTTTAAATAAGCAAATCAATGTTATACTAGAGTTAGACCAGAATAAACTCATTTCAACCAAATCAGAACTATTTATCAATTAGATGAGTTAACATCAATGACATATATTTGAATAATGGGTAGAATTTCCAACAAGAATAAATAAATAGGGAGCAAACATCTTTTTGCCAAAACTTTTTAAATGATTCATCTTACTGAAATCCTGAAATAAAGTTCATTTTGACTTTGATGAATTATTGTCTTATTGGCTATCATACAACATCTTTTATTATACCCCCGCTTTAAAAAAAAAAAGTGGGGGTATACTGTTTTACCTCTGTCTGTCTGTCCGTCAGTCTGTTCATCCGTCCCATGAATATTTTTCGTCGCATCTTTCTCGGGAACTACATCATAAGGATTTCTGAAATTTGGTTTCAGGGTTTATAAAAGTCAGCTATACTGTGTGATGCATTTTCAGATTCATCACTCAACAACTTCCTGTTTACCAAACACTTGCATATTTTTACACACTATTAAAATTATCCAGTTGTGGCGGTGGTATCATCAGTGAGCAGTAGCTTGCAGTTTCACTTGTTTTGTTTATTATCAATAGTACACATAGTCTTGCATTTTGATGGAATAATTCTTTTAATGTTCCTTCATTTGTTTTAATTTCAGTAATCAAGCTGTCAAGACAGAAATGGGAGGTTGGGGCCTTCGCTTTTCACAAGATCTGGTACAGATAAATGCTCGTGTTGCACCTCCAGAGAAGATAATGCAGAGATATGATGCTGTTGTAAGTATTATAGATGCTGTTGTAAGTATTATATACAGTGAGCACTTGTAAATAAAGTGGTGTGTTTAACGAAATTTAGATGCTGCACTTGCAAATGGAACTGCTGATTTTGTCCATTTCGGAATTCAGTGTTGATGGTAAATTAGGTGTTCACCTTGGTTATTTACCATTACTGGCCAGTCTCAAATAGAATGTTGGATGTACAATTCAAGATATTGTTAACCAGTGTGAATATGTAAAACTTTTATTTCCCTATATATCCCATATAAATATATACAATGTATGATTAGAAGATCGCAAAGGGGGAAGTTTGGTTGAAAAGATTGAGATATAAAATGTCTGTAAAAGTATGTTGGTTGACAGAAGGTGGTGCATGTATACCAGTCAGAATGGTTAACACTTACCATGCTGAATTGTTTTCAGAAAAAGTCTCATTTTCGTTTATTTGCAAAAATATGCAAATTATATGCAAATGAGCTTTACCCTGCTGCTGAAGCATATTGATTTCTTTAAATCTAAGGTAGGGGATCAAGGGTGGGGGGTGGGTGGTTGGGTGAGGAGGTGGGGGTGGGGGTGGGGGTGGGTGGGCGGGAATTTGCCCCAAAGTTGGTCATCATGTGCAAAAAGCGTCATTTTTGACGATTTTTTATCCTACTTCTTGACCCCAAAGACCGAGGGATGCTGATATAGGTATCCAGCTGTAGTCTGCATGTACAGTGGACCCAAGTCAACACATTAACCCCAATAGTTCTTAGGTTGGAGTGAAACTGATCTGGCAACACCAGTCTAAAGAAGGTCATTAGGACAAAAAATATGGAATTTCATGATTTTTTCCGATTTTGGACTTCAACTGGACCTGAAACCGGAAGTAGTCGTTTCCTCTGCGTATTTCAATAATAATTATGATCAGTAGATATATGCCTGCGGGTTTACACTATTTTTGAAAGTTTTAGGCCTCTGAACTTCCTGTGTAAGACACAGAAGGGAAGCCCACCCCTCCAGAAATAAAAGTTTTATCCGATTTTAATTTTCCAAGTTCGTATTTGAGCTCAAAATGCTACTTAAACATGAGAAACATGACAATAGATGGCCTCAGGTTGAGGGAACATGCATCAATTTCGAAATAAGTATCATAAAGTTGACCTCTAAAAGTATGGAGAGCCATTAGAGCCAAATAACGGTGGTCTGGGTCATCCCGTCATATGACGGGCACAGCATGGTAAGGGTTAAGAAACTCCCTGGTTAAAAAATGAGAGATTTGTGCCTTGTGTATGTGTGGTGTTGGAAAGTTAGGTGCTATGAAGTATGTGAGGTATGAACTAATCACATCTAATCCATATTGCAGCTGAATTATAAGCAAGAGGATGCAGACTGGAGCCGTGATATGCGGGGGAAAGAATTAGTTACTCCAGTAGACCTGCAAAGATGGGTAATTGTGTTCACAAGAAAGAACTCTGCAATGGCTCAAGACTTGGTTCAAACCTTAAGCAAAGTTGGACCTCCCATGGGAATGAGGATTAATCAACCAACTCCGTAAGTATTGATACTGCACACATCTTGAATGTGGGTGAACTTCATTAAATACTTGTACTCTATTTATTTTGAAAGATGAAAAATAAAAATGACAGGCAGTGGTTTCCTCGGAAATTTACTTGAGAGATTATGGCCATTTACCTCATTTAAATTATAAGTGTTACAAAAAAAAACCTTATAAAACATACCTTCATGCCCTAAATTTCGTTGAATCTGCATGCTACTTCTAGAATTAAGGGTAAATGGTTGGACAAGAAAACGCATTGTAAGACCACACAACCAACTACATTACAAGTGGACAATTTTTGTTTGTTATGCCCCCACCGTAGCGGAGGAGGCATTAAGTTTTACCCTTGTACGTACGTATGTCCCAAAGTTGGTTTCTGTACTCTAACTTTAGTTTGCCTCAACCAAATGTTATGAAACTTATACACAATTCTTATTACCACAACATACAGATCAAGTTTGAATTTTGGTGGCATCTCTTTTACTGTTCTCGAGTTATGCCCCTTGACAAATGGAAAAATTGCTGAATTTTTCGTTTCCGTTTTCTAACTTAAAGTTTGCCTCTACCAAATGTTATGGAACTTATACACAATACTTATTACCACAAAATTCAGATCAAGTACAAATTTGTGTAGCGTCAATTTTACCGTTCTTCAGTTATGTCCCTTTATAACTTTATATGATATGCAAGCGGGGGCATCATCTGTGTCCCATGGACACATTCCCCATTTATTGTAAATTGTGATGTTCCTTTGTAACCCTAAAATAATCCACGGGAGGCAAATCAAAAAATGTACAAATTTGTTCATTAGATTGAGTTTTAAGCTTGCTTGTTAAAAAGTCTATATTTGCCATTGCTTTCTTGCTTTTTCAGATGTGAAATTCCAGATGATAGGAATGATAGCTACCTCTCTGCACTGAGACAGCAAGTACAACAAGACACACAGATGGCTTTGTGTATTCTGCCAACAAACAGAAAGGACAGATATGATGCCATTAAAAAATTCTGTTGTGTTGATCACCCAGGTAGGGGAATTTATTTCTAATCGCATGACTTCTGCATGATCATAAATGTTACTTGTAAGAACTTAGTTTAACAATCCAATTTAACAAAGGATGAAAAGAGCAATGAATGCTGGGTTCAAAATGAGAAATCATACTGAAATTAGAGGGGGGGGGGGGGGGAATTGGGTCATATGTTCTTTATGGTTTTATGTTTATGTAATGTGTGAAAAATTACAAGAAATTATGTTGGTTGTGGGGGATTTTGAAATTCCCTTCTTACCTCCTACACCCATTTTAATGGGATCGTAACTTTTTTATTTTGATAAAAGGAAGTGATCAATGTTCTTCAAAAGGGAATAGACCTTTAAAATGTATGTATCACAAAATGTGACTAAAACAAGAAAAATGTGAAATTTTAAATCAGTCAATATTAACTACAACAAATAAAAATGTCTTTTGTCCTTGCACAAATGTAGAATACTACCCTAGATGTTCTTAAAGGAATAGTATTCTAATCCCAACATTCTAAAGGGGAGGTAAGAAAATCCACTAAAATAAACTAATAACTGGGAGAAAAAGGGGGGGGGGGGGGGTATTTTTTTTTAGTTTACTTGCAGTTTTAGTTGTAAATGAAAACAATTTTGAATATATTTTGTAGTTCCTAGTCAGGTTGTGGTAGGCAGAACATTGTCAAAGAAGCAGATGTTGATGTCAGTCGCTACTAAAATAGCTATTCAGTTGAACTGTAAACTTGGTGGAGAGGTTTGGCATCTAGAGATTCCAGTAAGTATTTATAGTACTACTAAATATCTTATCACATGATAAATCTAATATAGAAATGTCTACTTGAGTAATATATTTACATTTTATCTGGTGGTTATACGGTTGTCTTTTATTTACACAAGTCATTGATGTTCAAAAGGTACTGCTATCTATTGTATATTTTGTATTTGTTACGTGTGATGGTGCAGTCGTAAATGAGACTAAATAATCTTGAAATAACATATAATTTCTGGTTGGAGTTGGGTAAGAGGATTCTAGAGCAGTTCCATTTCAACATGCATGATATCCAGGAATCCACCTATAAAGGCAATTTTGGAATACCCTGTTTCATTTACAGTTTATTAAAAAAACTATGACATTCATCCCTTGTGGAGTTTTCAAAGTGCCTTCCCTGGATCCCATGTATAATTTTATGGTACAGCACTTAGAACATTTTGTTATAGCCATTTTAACATAATATAGGCTTCAATATTTATAACTATAGAAAGCAGTGATTTGGTGTTTTAAAGTATTGTAGCTGTGTGCACTATGTAGGTGTTAACTGTTACTTATACATTATAATTAGTTTAATTAAAACTTAATGTGTGAAGTGTTGCTTTAATCACCACAAAACTATTGGATTTATTGTTAATTTGTTCTAATCATGAATGCATGTCACTAGACATTTATAAGCAAACAAAAATTTCTATAATAGCAAAATTTTCAAATTTACTAGGAAATGCAATGTTGGCTATTTCCTTTAAATTGATGTGAGAGGGTAGGAAGAGACTTAACAACATTCTTTTTGTAATTTTGAATCCATTAAATTGACAAAGACCTGTACACGCATATATTTATTACCTGGGGATAGTGTTTAATTATTGAATATGTGAATTGTAGGAATTATATATATGTTTGCTATTGAGTCTTTAACTCGTGCATTTGTGATTATTTTGTGTGTGCTTCCTCTACCTAGTACTACTTGTTACCTCTACAGCATGGATTTAGTCAAACTGTTGCTAAATCGTGGGTGCTGTGCTTCTTGAAACATTATCATTCTGGAATGTCTGCTCCAGAATTTACAGTGGGAGCTTCATTTATCATTGAAGATTTCTTAATATTCTGGAACCTGCATTCTTAAAAGGACTGTTTCAGTATTGTAACAATCGTTACACTAAGAAATTATTTGTTTGGAGATGGGAATTTTTTGATAAAGTATATTTAAATATTGAGCAGATAGATATTTAATAGTTCAAAGTTCATGCATTCAAATTATTTAAAAATAGTTCCATAGTGCCTGTTTTTTATAGGCTGCTGATCAAGGAATTTTAATCAGTTCTGAAGTAAATGTTATTATTTTTATGATGCAACTAATTTTCTGAAACAGTCTTTTCCTACATCTGTATTATCATCACTCATTTTCATTGCTTTTCATTTCTCCTCATCAATCAGCTGAAGAATCTAATGGTGATAGGTATTGACAGTTACCACGATTCGGCCAAAAAAGGTCGGTCTGTAGGTGGTGTTGTTGCCAGCATTAACCCAGCCTTGACAAGATACTATTCACGCTGCACTTTCCAACATTCAATGCAAGAGTTGTCCGATGGTCTCAAAGTCTGTATGAAAGGTTGGCATTTCAACTGTTGGCCTTATATTTGAGTTTATAAGGGTTTGTTGAGGTTTTCTACTACATGTAACAATATCATAATCCAGCAATTGTTATACAATATCACTGCTGTATGGTAGGTATTGCTCCTCTCTGAAATAGTCTCCCCTTAGAAGTACACATCTGGTAAGATTTGAATAGCTGTAGTTTGATGGTAAGCTTTTTTTGAGGAAGTAACTGATGTAATTCTGAAAAGTTGGATAGGAAACTTGATAATATAAGGTAAGAATGTCTGCACTTGGCTGTTTAATCTTGTGGTCCTATGTCTTCTTTTTTGATGTGATGCATTCCTTTATCTCAGTGGAGACGGCCAAGTGGAGATAAAATTTAGTTCTTGGTTCCATTTTCATTTATGTCATTTTTATCTGCTATCGTATTGTGATTGTACTTGTATTTGCTTCTGTGTAACTTGTTGGCTTTGCTATGTGTCATGTTTGCTGTTGCATGAAATGCTTTGCTTTATGTGTTTGCTGTTGCATGAAATGCTTTGCTTTATGTGTTTGCTGTTGCATGAAATGATTTGCTTTATGTGTTTGCTGCTTGTGTTGATGAATGATGTTGATTGCTTTAGTATGAATTAATATTAAAAATGTCTTATTTACAGTAACGAAATAAATTAAAAACTGAATTTGCCATTCTAATAGAATGTCTGTTATGATTCATTCGATTCTGTATAGAATATGTTCATAATTATTACTTCTTTCTTCAGATATAGAGATATGTTGTAGATTTTATTAACAAGGCCCCAAAAAATACATGTCTGTTAAGGGTGACATTATTTTCACAAGACCAAAGGTGAAATGTACTGTCGAAAAAAAAATTTGTATGTACTACAATACATAAGATTAAATATGGAAACATGGTGACAGAAGCTTGCAAAATATTCCTGAAATGGATATTTGGTCTCTGGAATACCACGTCGTCTTTATATGGTATTTCAATAAAAATCAGAAAAAATATCGTCCCTCAACAGACTTTTTTTTTGCGACAAATTTTGCTTTGCTTATTTTTGATTGCATACTACTATATGGAAACTTGTGCATTAGGGCTGTTCCAATAAAACGTGTCTGGTACCAATGGAAGACACTTGTGATGTATAGACTATTTTAAATTTCCATCCACACTTTTTACTGTACAAAAACACAGACTCATAGATGAGATTTTAAAGTGCCTTTCATAGGTCCAATGTATGCTTTTTGGAACAGCCTGTAGAATTAGTTTACTAACAATTTTCGAAATGCTGGTTAGCCCTGAATGTCCAAGCCGTTGGTTTCTCAAAAAAAAAAAGGTTCATGCTTGCACATGTTTCATGTCAAGTCCATGTTTTTTTTAAGAATTAGTTCCGTAACAGTTTGTCTTGTTTCAAAATTGTGACTAGTGATTCCACAGAATTCTACTTGTCTTATGGTCCATTTAACACACCCTATGTTTACTGCAGTAGCAAAAGCCAGTAAAGGGTGTTGTGAAGAGATTTGGAGAGCCTTTAGAATTGCAAATGACTGTTCTACATTAACTTGTTTTAAAAATATTGTTACAAAAAACTATTTTTGTCTTTAGATTGCAATGGCATTCAATTTAGAGACAATTAAAAGTGTGAAACCAATGCCAATATGTAACTTAATTCAGAAATTGGACTGTCAAATTTTAATTTTTGCAGATAAATACAAGTTTAGGTGGAACAGAATTTCATGTGTGAAGTTGTAGACCAAGTGAAAAATCTGTTGAATTTGCAAAATTGCATGAAAATTAGCTGTACTAATTGCTTTTTGCATTAACTTTCAAGTGCTTATGAATAACCTGAAATTTTGTTTATGTTATGTTGCAATATGATTATATGATAACAAGTAATGTTACTTCGAAACTCTTAGTTTTGAGAGAAAATGCAATTTACTCTCAATATTGATTAGAAATTTTGACCAAATTTTGTAAAGCTCAATCATTCACGAGGTTCGTGTGGCAATGTCCAGTAATAAATGGTTTGGTCCACTGAGGTCCAAAAAACCTTTGGAACCTCTCAAAGCGTGACCTGTGCAAAATATTCCCAATTTCCTGAAATCTGAAAACATATGATCTTGATAAAGTTCAAGGAAAACATTTAAACTTTTCGGACTGGATTTACTGTAAAAAGAAAATGTAAACAACCTTTTGTATTCAGTAATTTTTGGAAAAAAAACAAAAGAATTACTTATTATTAAGTAGTCATATTGCAACTTTTATATTTGGTTGTTTGTTATTGTTACTTAAAAGCAAGATCTGTTTACAGCTTAAAGGTTTGATGGTGGTAGGTATCGATACATACCACGATTCTGCCAAGAAAGGACGTTCTGTTGGAGGTATTGTTTGTAGCATGAATAGAAATCTTACCAGGTATTACTCTAGTTGTACATTCCAAATGCAGACCCAGGAACTCGTTGATGGAGCATGTATAAAAATGCGAGGTACGGTTATTCAATGAAGTGAAAAAGAGGTTTTGTTGATTAATAATTTAGAAACTTTTATTGTATCAATCATTAATCTAATCATTAGATATGAACAAGCTCAAATACTTGTAAAAGTAATTTAATTTGTTAAGAGGCAACTGGCTCACAAACTGAAAAAAGTTCAAAGGACTTCCAATATTAATTTGTATGTGAAAAGCCTAGTTTACAAATCAATAAACTCGGTAAAAATGATCTTGTATTACAAGTTATAAAGACGGTGTTAAGATAAATTTATTATGCCACTGCCGTAGTGGAGGGGACATTAAGTTTTACCCTTGTCCATCTGTACGTTCGTAAGTCCCAAAGTTGGTTTCCGTTCTCTAACTTTAGTTTGCCTCAACCAAATGTTATGAAACTTATACACAATACTTATTTCCACAAAACACAGACCATGTTTGAATTTTGGTGGCGTCACTATAACTGTTCTAGAGTTATGCCCCTTTACAAATGGAAAAATTGCTGAATTTTTCATATCCGTTTCTAACTTTAGTTTGCCTCAACCAAATGTTATGAAACTTATACACAAAGCTTATTACCACAAAATACAGATCAAGTTCGAGATTGGGTGGTGTCCACTTTTACTGTTCTTGAGTTATGCCCCTTTATAAACATAAAAATTGCTGAATTTTTCGTTTCCGTTCTCCAACTTTAGTTTGCCTTAACCAAATGTTATGAGACTTGTACACAATCCTTTTTACCATAAAACTCTGATCAAGTACAAATTTGGGTAGCGTCACATTTACCGTTTTTCAGTTATGTCCCTTTATAACTTTATATGATGTGCAATCGGGGGCATCATCTGTGTCCCATGGACTAATTCCCCATTTATTTTTTTATCAAAACCATAACTATTTCGGGGCTTTTCCTTTAAAACCTATTTAGTATCACTCAGAAAATTGAGTAACCTCACATAGAAGAAATTTAAGAGACCTGCATAAATGTTTAATTTTTATATACACATGAAAGATACACACTAATGAAATAGCATCCAAAATCTGACTTATCTATGTATAAATAATATCAAGTCTATCATTTATTTTGATTTTTACTTAAGATTTTCTTCACCTAAGAACAGCAAAGACTTCAAGAAATGTTTTGTACAAGTATTTGCTTAAAACTCTGAAAAGTTAAAATATCAGAAAATCAATTAATTTTTATACGACCGCAAAAAATTTTTGTGGTCGTATATTGGTATGGCGTCGTCGTCGTCCGAAGACACATTGGTTTTCGCACTCTAACTTTAGTTTAAGTGAATGGATCTCTATGAAATTTTACCACAAGGTTCAAAAGGAAGGTTGGGATTGATTTTGGGGGTTATGGTACCAACAGTAAAGGAATTAGGGACCAAAAAGGGGCCAAAAATAAGCATTTTTGTAACTTCCAGACATAACTTGTGTGTTAGTGTATGGATCTCTCTGACATTGTACCACAAGGTTCCATATCACAAAAGGAATGCTGGGATTGATTTTGGGGGTAATTGCCTCAAAATTATAGGAATTAGGGGCCAAAAAAGGGGCAAAAAACAAGCATTTTTCTAGTTTCATGACAATAACTTGTGTGCAAGTATATGGATCTTTCTGAAATTGTACTACAAGGTTCCATATCACAAAGGGTAGGCTGGAATTGAGTTTGGGGGTAATTGCCGAAACTTTTAGGAATTGGGGGCCAAAAAGGGGCAAAAAATAAGCATTTTTCTAGTTTCCAGACAATAACTTGTGTTCAAGTGTATGGATCTCTCTGAAATTGTACTGCAAGGTACCATACCACAAAGGGAAGGTGAGGATTAAGTTTGGGGGTGATAAATCATAAGGGGGTTCAAAAAATTTGGGGGGGATTTTTTTTTTTTCCTTTTTTTTTTCTTTTAAAATTTTCCATTTTAAGTTGGTTATTTCTGATTTATATTTAAAAGCAAATAATAATGATATGGTAGGAGATACACACCAAACAGGATGTGTAAATTATTATATAATAAGTATTGTGCAATAGCAAGAAATTTTCAATTGCACAGTATTGCACAATAGCAAGAAATCTTCAATTGCACAGTATTGCGCAATAGCAAGAAATCTTCAATTGCACAGTATTGCGCAATAACAAGAAATATCCAATAGCACAATATTGCGCAATAGCAAGAAATTGTCAATTGTACAGTATTGCGCAATAGCAAGAAATATTTAATTGCACAGTATTGTGCAAAAGAAGATACTTCGTATAAATTGCTTATTTCTTGACCAATTTCAATGGGGTTTTATTCTTGAATTCTTGGGGTTCTTTAATATGCTGAATCTAACCGTGTATTTAGTTTTTGGACTTTGGGCCCCGTTTTTAAATTGGTCCACATTGAGGTCCAAAGGGTCCAAAATTAAACTTTGTTTGATTTCATCAAAAATTGAATTATTTGGGTTCTTTGATATGCCGAATCTAACCGTGTATTTAGATTCTTAATTTTTGGTTCTGTTTTCAAATTGGTCTACATTAAGGTCCAAAGGGTCCAAAATAAAACTAAGTTTGATTTTAACAAAAATTGAATTCTTAGGGTTCTTTGATATGCTGAATCTAAACATGTATTTAGATTTTTGATTATGGGCCCAGTTTTCAAGTTGGTCCAAATCGGGGTCCAAAATTAAACTTTGTTTGATTTCAACAAAAATTGAATATATGGGGTTCTTTGATATGCTGAATCTAACCATGTATTTAGATTTTTTAATTTTTGGGCCCCGTTATCAACTTTGTCCACATTGAGGTCAAAAGGGTCCAAAATTAAACTTTGTTTGATTTCATCAAAAATTGAATTCTTGGGGTTCTTTGATATGCTGAATCTAACCATGTATTTAGATTTTGGATATTAGACCATAATAGGTGAATGTCCAATTTAAAATTTTTAAGTTCTTAGACCACATTCATTCTGTGTCAGAAACCTATGCTGTGTCAAATATTTAATCACAATCCAAATGCAAAGCTGTATCAAGCTTGAATGTTGTGTCCATACTTGCCCCAACTGTTCAGGGTTCGACCTCTGCGGTCGTATCAAGCTGCGCCCTGCGGAGCATTTTATTAAATGTTAAATCGAGTTCCATTTGTTGTAAAAAAGCAATTTATGTCAGGAATGTAATAACTAGTAATAACTATGAATTACAGGTGCCCTGGAGAAGTACCATGAAGTAAATGGTGCATTACCAGAGAGGATTATTGTGTTTAGAGATGGTGTAGGTGATGGACAGCTCCAGGCTGTACATGAACATGAAATACCACAAATGATTGATTGTTTCAAGAAAGCAGGTGGTACTGAATACAGGTAGGTCACAAATGGTATTATCCCCAGCGCTACAAGTTATCGGGGACATAGAAATACCAGGTGTCTGTCTGTCCATTCTTGATAGTGCTCTTGCGTGTACAATTTTTGTCAGATTTTAATAAAAAAATTGTAGCAAAAGTTTATCAGCAATGTCTTGGAAAAGTTCAAAAATCAGTGCCATTAACTATATGGAAAATTGCATTGTTAGGGCTCGTGTCTGTACAGTTCTTGCCAGATTTTTTTATAAAACTTGTATCATAGGTTTATATCAGCATAAATATATATGTCTATAAATCAGTGCTGATCAATTGTTTTTAAAGGAGTTGGCCCCTTTGAAATATTAATTATATCGGGAATTACTTTGCATTTGCTCTCCAGTCTTCATTTTATAAAAGATATTTTTAAAAAGTTTTAAAGAAAAAAAGTTGGGTTTTTTTTTTGTTGTTTTTTTTTTATTGATAAAATATGTGCAATGAAATTGGAACTCTGTTCTTTAATTTGTTTAGATTTTTTGGAAGTAGGTCAGTGTTCCAATCAACTTTGATCAAGTTTGTTGATTACTGTATCACTGAATGATTGATTTTTGCTTGCTTAACATGCAGTGGTAAAAAAATGTGCATCTTCAGGACCAGAACAGGTTAATAGTTAAAACAATAGGTAGATTCTTCAAAGTATGTGGACTGGTATAAATGGATTTAAGAAATAATTCTTCCATGCCATGCTCTATGCTCATTTTATAATGGGTAGACAGAGCATAGAGCATGGCACGATAGAATTATTTCAATTCTAATAGGAAAATTAAGAACTTGTACATCGAAGTGGGCCTATTATACACGTTCGAAAGGCAGCCATTATGATTTTATGAAGCCAAAACGATACTGAGTCTCGTCCGTTCCATGATAAAAAATGAACAGATACATGTAAATTTACTTTTAGAGTGATTTTATTTAATTTCCTAGCGAGATACAACAACACAAATGTCCATTTAGTTCTCCAGCATTTTTCAAAATACCAACAACGTTGCAATTTCAATTGTGACCTCAATCAGGTGATGCCCGTGTTCTATTGCAATTAAAACATGGCTTTGTTTCCAAAGCGAAGAAGAATGTCATATCAGAATATTCATTTAATACAAGATAATGGGCTGCGATAATTTTTTTAATCACAACATATTATTAGTTTACCACATCTTTCATCAGGTGATAAACTGAAAGAGATGCGATGGATGAACATTTCTTGTCACATTTCTCAATAACCAATGTATTAAAATAACTCAAGTTATGTTGTACCTGTTTGAATAAAGAGAGATAACAAACTTAATTCTTTGCAAAAAAAAAATGTCATTCTTCTATTCACTCTCATATTCTATGTTACCTTTGTAGTCCCTAAAGTGTTCAGTTTCGAGAAGTATCAGTGTAGTTGTAGAAAATAATAATATTGAATCTATGAATATATAATTACAGTCCTAAGGTTGGTGTAGTTGTTGTGAAGAAGAGGATCAACACCAGATTCTTCGCCAGTTTGAACAGGGGACAATTGGGTAACCCACCCCCAGGAACCATCATTGATACAGAAGTAACTAAACCAGAGTGGTAAGTAATATTAGTATATTGTGGAGCAGACTGTAATTTTTCTCTGTATATGGTAAACTATAGTTGTAGCATGTAAACTGATATTTTCAAATATTATGACAACATTAGTTGAGAGATGAACAGGGTTTCACCTGACCTTGACCTCACTTCAGAGATCTGTTATAAGGTTATTTCTCGAATTCTATTAGCAATTGGTTAACTATATTTGGTGTATGGAATAATTTTAAGGTTTTCATGTCCAACATGAAGATAATATTAAGTGTATGTGATACCTGTAGTAGAACCTTGGAAGACTTGCAACATAAAATTCAATTATCACTATTAAAGCAAGTGATGCATTTCAGCATGTGCACTTTTAGTGATCATATATTCTCTTGTTAACTACCACATTTCTGTCTCCTAAATATTTCAAGATCTATTATTGGGTTGCTTAAAGATAAAAATAGTATCAATACAAACTGTTATATGACATTAGGATTATGTGTATTGTATGTGTGCTATACTGCATACTGATGTTGGTATCTTTTTGTAGGTATGACTTCTTCCTTGTTAGTCAGTCTGTCAGACAGGGAACTGTTACTCCAACTCATTATAATGTTGTGTGGGATACCACAGGACTGAAACCAGATCATATGCAGAGATTAACCTACAAGATGTGCCATCTGTACTACAATTGGCCGGTAATTTATATATTTATATATATTAAATATTTTGTCTTTATATAACAAAGGCTGCAGCTAGAACATGAGATTGTTAAAATCTTCCTCTTTTTAGCTCACATTGCCATGGGCTATGTGCACTTTTGTCATCACTTAGCCTCCAGTGTCCAACTGTTATTCACATTTGATCTTGAGAACCACTGAAAATAATACAATTTTAGCACAGTTACACCTAGTGGAGTAGCTTTGTTGTCGTTTCTTCTATAGAATATCCACCATGGTCATTGTAGCCAAATTGCATGAAGAGAAATTCGGCTTATAGTGTGAAGAATTACTTTCAGATGTCAACATTCATGTTGCTTGACAAATTTTGTTTTACCATGAACCTGATCTTTACAAAACTTGATAATGCCCCATTGGATGAAGACCATTTTTTATACGACCACAAAATTTTTTGCATTTGTATAATGATTCCACGTCAGCGTTGTCGTCGAAGACATTTGGTTTCCAGACAATAACTTAGATCTCGATGAAATTGTACCACAAGGTTCCTAAACACAAAGGGAAGGTTGGGATTGATTTTGGGGTTATTGTCCTAACTGTTTAGGAATTGTGGGCCAAAAACAAACAGTTTTCTTGTTTCAGAACAAATACTTGTATATAAGTGTATGGATTTCTATGAAATTGTACCACACGGTTCCATACCTCAAAAGGAAGGTTGGGATTGATTTTGGGGGTTATGGCCCAAATTGTTAGGAATTGTGTACCAAAAAAGGACCATAAAACTAGGATTCTCTGGTTTCACTACTAAACTTGAGTATAAGTGTATGGATCTCTATGAAATTATACCCAAAGGTTCCATTCCATAAAGGAAGGTTGGGATTGATTTTGGGGGTTATGGCCCTAACTGTTCAGGAAAAAGGGGCCAAAAACAATACTTTTCTTATACTTTGTATAAATTGCTTATTTCTTGACCAATTTCAATGGGGTTTAGTTCAAAGTCTTGCATTCTTGGGGTTCTGTAATAAGCTGGATCTAACGGTGTATTAAGATTTTGGTTTTTGGGCCTCGTTTTTAAATTGATCCACATTGAGGTCCAAAGTGTTCAAAAATTAAACTTTATTTGATTTCAACAAAATATGCTGAATCTAACCATGTATTTAGATTTTGGATATTGGACCATAAAAGGTAAATGTCTTAATTTCAAATTTTAAAGTTCTTGGACCACATTCATTCTGTGTCGGAAACCTATGCTAAGTCAAATATTTAATCACAATCCAAATTCAGAGCTGTATCAAGCTAGAATGTAGTGTCCATACTTGCCCCAACTGTTCAGGGTTCAACCTTTGCAGTAGTTTCAAGTTGCGCCCCAGCGGATCATTTTATTGTCGAGCCTTCGACTTTTGTCGAAAAAGCGAGACATAGCGATCCTACATTCCGTCGTCGGCGGCGGCGTCCACAAATATTCACTCTGTGGTTAAAGTTTTTGAAATTTTAATAACTTTCTTAAACTATCCTGGATTTCTACCAAACTTGGACAGAAGCTTGTTTATGATCATAAGATTATATTCAAAAGTAAATTTTGTAAAAAAAAAATTCCATTTTTTCCGTATTTTACTTATAAGTGGACTTAGTTTTTCTGCCAGGAAACATTACATTCACTCTGTGGTTAAAGTTTTTAAAATTTTAACAACTTTCTTAAACTATCCTGGATTTCTACCAAACTTGGACAGAAGCTTGTTTATGATCATAAGACTATATTCAAAAGTAAATTTTGTAAAAAAAAAAATCCATTTTTTCCGTATTTTACTTATAAGTGGACTTAGTTTTTCTGCCAGGAAACATTACATTCACTCTGTGGTTAAAGTTTTTGAAATTTTAATAACTTTCTTAAACTATCCTGGATTTCTACAAAACTTGGAAAGAAGCTTGTTTATGATCATAAGATAGTATCCAGAAGTAAATTTTGTAAAAAAAAAATTCCATATTTTCCGTATTTTACTTATAAATGGACTTAGTTTTTCTGCCAGTTAACATTACATTCACTCTGTGGTTAAAGTTTTTAAAATTTTAACAACTTTCTTAAACTATCCTGGATTTGTACCACACTTGGACAGAAGCTTGTTTATGATCAAAAGCTAGTATCTAGAAGGAAATTTTGATAAAATTTTGTTCCATTTTTTCTGTATTTTACTTATAAATGGACTTAGTTTTTCTTCCAGTCAACATTACATACATTCTGCAGTTTAAGTTTTTAAAACATTTATTAGATTCATAAATTATCCTGGATTTTTACCAAACTTGGACAGAAGCTACTTACAATCAAAAGATAGTATAGAGAGGAATATTTTTATTAATTTTTTTCCTCATTTTTGTTGAGCCTGCGATTAACACCAAAAGTAGGCGAGACACTGGGTTCCGCGGAACCCTTACGATTTTTTTTTATTGAGGTTGCCAGGTCAAAGGTCTAGGTAACAGAAGCTAGTAATTAAATAGATTGAAATTTGGGGAATTAATTTGGTCTCTAGATATCTGTTAACCACAAGTCCCAAAATTACTTGGGTAATGTCCCATGTGTGAAGTAGCCCTGTTTATTTTAAGAGAACAAGATCAAAAGTTGGAAGTCAGCAACTATTGGATGACTTAAATTTCGCAAAATATTTGTTTTCCGATGGTATTTTTTCAACCATGTTTCCTTATTTTAGTGAACTTTGTTACATAATGGTCATTTGCAATGCAAATAGTATGCAATTATCAGGTGAAAACACGGAAAGTCTGAAAAGGTGACTAGAAATATTGCATCAGTATTTTTCTGGAGTATTTGTGACCTGAAAAAAATCTTCAATATTGAAAATAGAGTATTTCAAGAGTGAATTGTATTACTGAAATTAGTTTTTACTTTCTCGTCATCTTGCATATGGGGCCTCGGTGGCTGAGTGGTTTAAGTAGTCAAACTACTGTATCACTATAGTCTGTCAACAATGACGTCGTTAGTTCGAATCCCACACTTGGCAGGGGATTGTCAGTTTTCCTAAGGAAGGTCGGTGGTTCTCTACCGGCTTCCTCAACCAATGAAAACTAACTGCCATGAAATAGCACAATAGTGCTGAAACACCAAACAAACAATCAATCAATTATCATGCATATGGATGACCAAAGTCAGTTTCATTTTATGATGTCATAAAAAAATTAGTTTTAACTGATATTAATTCTGTTCCTCATTTCTTAAATACTTTTTTAATTTTTAGGGCACAATCAGAGTTCCAGCTCCATGCCAGTATGCACATAAGCTAGCCTTCCTTGTTGGACAGAGTATTCATAGAGACCCGTCACCAGCCTTGGCAGACCGTCTTTACTTCTTGTAAACTGACATGACGGTCAAAAGAGAGAAAGGACTGGTTTTATGTAAATTAAAGCCATCATACAAAATGAAGTGCCTTCCTAGCTCTACAAGAGTATGGATTGTTTACTTGTAATGTACATGTGTGCAATGACTAGAAATGGTGCTGATTGAAAGACTGTGTATATTTGTGAACTACAGTTTTGTGTAAACTGAAGGATTATTAATTTACAGTTTAATGCTATGCAACTGATTTTTTTGTCGCAAAAACTTGATGATCTGATTCCTGTGTTTAAACTTATGGGTCTTTAGCTACAATGTTGTCTATAGACTGTTCAAAATATATCAAAAGACTGAATCCCATGAGGGACTTCAATCAAAAATGCAGAAAAAGATGTTTATGAGATTTTTTTTTTGTTTATCATTTTTTTATATACATAGTTTATTGTTTTAGAGTAGGTTTTGTTATTTTTATACTGTTGCTATTACATTGTTTTATTTTGCTGATTTGAAAGACATTGATTAAGCTTTGTGGTCTTTATGCAGATGTATTAATCATGTGTTTCAACATCAGTGTGCAAGTGATCATAAGTTGTTTATATTGTTGATTATAGGAGTTCCATTATATGTAGAATAGAAGTTAACAGAAAATTTACAGCAAAGATTGATAAAATTTTGAAGTAGGTTCAAATTGAAATAATTTCTTATCTTGTAGAAAATCTATATTTTTTTTATGAAAAAGATTGATTATATGAAGGAATATTTAGATGAGGATAAGGGAAGTTTTTGAGAAATGAACAGGATTGACAACCAAAAATATCTGTCCAAATTGTTTTAATGGGGTGGTACAAAGGTATTCATGCATAACTATTTCAGGGAAAATGCAAAGATAAGGCAGTCAACTTTCTATTAGTTGATGGTTCCATTGACCAGAGAGAAAAAAACAAAAGTATTACAGATTTGAGTTGTGTGTCGGTTTTCATCAAAAGAAATCCTGTATTAGCCATTTTCTCATACAGAATTATTTAAAGAAATATTGGCCCTGTTTCACACCAGTTTCTTATGCCTGCTTTAAAATTTGGTTTGTATTGTTCTCTGCTATTGTCGAAAAGGATCAGGCTTTTTTCGATGTGACGTTATTTTTTTATCAAAACACACCTTGAAATATCCTTGATGGGTTTGCTTTTCAACATTGTATTGCAACTACATGTATAAATGTAAAGGATGTGTTGTTGAAATTTGTGCAGACTATGGACATGATAGAACATGAAATAAGGGTAAATATAAAATGTTTGGGAGTAAATTTATGTTTGGAATGTACATTATGAAGTTGAAGCCAGTGATTTTAGAATAAGACTTATTCCTTCCACACTTCTTTTCTGGAAGTTAAACAGACAAAAACATTCTTCATTAAAACATTTTCCTGTGAAATCTGAGAAGATGAATTTTATGTACTAAAATTTTAAGATTTTTCTTAATTAAGTATAAACATAAATTAATCAGTTCACATTTCAACATATTTGCTAGTTCTTAGAATTATTGTGCAATAATAGTCTTAAACCCAGTGATGAACGTTTTCAGCGGATTTCCAATTTTTGAGTTCGTTTTTTCCTTCATTTTTTCCCTTTCTTTTTACAGTATTTTGACTTTTGGAAACACAATTTCTGCTTTTTTTTTGGTTGGAGACCAATTTCATCCCTGTAACCCATCCATCTACTTGTATAGAACAAGTTAGAATAATCATATTCATTTGTGCTGTAAAAATCATTCGTAATTGAATCTCATAAAAAAAAAAAAACATGCCCAAAAACCCATTTTTTACATTTGATCATTGATCAGTATTAATAGTTGTCAGAAAACCATTCCACATCACTGGTTGAAATTGTATTTGTATGAATGAATGTTCAGTAAAAACTTCATAAAACCATATTCCATTTTCAATTAGACATATTAATCTTGCAGACAAATATCATTTCATAATCAATTTGATTGGACAAGAGTTGGCATGTATGTACACAAATCATTTTTGGAAGCAAATGTGATCATTTATTTAACTGACAAATGGTGTTTTTTTTTCATTAATCATGCTGGGGAAGGGGGAAAATTAAAAAGAAAAAAATAAAGTTACATTGTTTTTTATTATTCTTTGAATTCATTGCTTTTCATTCCTGTTGTAGTTATTTGATTACTGGCCTATTTCTAAGTTATATTCCTTCAAAAAAAAAAAAAAGAATTGTTACCATTTGCAGTATTTAAATAAAGTAATTGTGGTATCCAATGAGACGACTATCCACAAGAGTTCAAATGAAGTGGATGTAAGCAATTATTGTTCAAACAACTATACAGGTTACTGTATAGGCCTTCAATAATGAGTAAAACACAAACCATATAGTAAGCTTTATAAAGCCTCAAGATGGCAATCACTGAACAGGTACAGTAGGAATGTTGTGGGTTTCAACATCTTCCGAGTGCTCAACCCTTCCCCCAATCTCTTACAGTGGTGTAATAAACGAAAGAGTGAAGATCAGTTGAATGAGGATTAGACTTGATAGATTGCGGTAAACAAAAAAATATATGTAGCAAAAATGACTACCCTTCAAGCTCTTGCAGCCATTGAAAGCTTGTTTAAAGATTTCAGCCTATTGACAGACCCTGTTTTCCAGATTAAATTATCAGTGGGCATCAAGTTTATATGGACCCAAATTTTCTGATTTTGACTTGTCTAAAGACCCAGTCTTGTAATCATAAAACAATTTGAATGGAAAGTGAATTGGTAAAGTTATTTTTTAGCAAGCATAATATGTTACTTGTGTTTCAAGTTTTAATTTTCTGTTTATAATTTATCCATATAGCTGTATGGTCGTAGGGTGAATTCATTTATGTTTTGATGCATCTGGCAAATAGAAGAACTGATGTAACGTACGTAGTATGTCAATTGTCCTTGACCTCATATTCATGGTTCAGTGACTTTTTAAAAAGTGAAATACTAATGAGTAATAGGATTACAATATTTGATATATGGGTTCCTTGCAATGTCTTCATGTCAGTCGGGTAGGGTTCACCTGACCTTGGCCACATTTCATGGATCAGTGATCAAGAAAGTTTGGTGGTACATGTCCGACTGGCAGGGTTCATCTGACCTGGACCTTTATGTCATGGTTCATTGCTAAATGTATAGTTTTTGTGGTTTTTCCTTGACCTCATTTTCATGGTTCATTCGTGAGTTTTTATACGACCGCAAAATATTTTTGTGGTCGTATATTGGAATGGTGTCGTCGTCGTCCGAAGACACATTGGTTTTCGCACTCTAACTTTAGTTTAAGTGAATGGATCTCTTTGAAATTTTACCATAAGGTTCAATACCACAAAAGAAAGGTGGGGATTGATTTTGGGGGTTATGGTACCAACAGTTAAGGAAAAAGGGGCCTAAAATAAGAATTTTCTAGTTTCCAGACAATGACTGTGGAACAGTGTATGGATCTCTCTGAAATTATACTACAAGTTTCCATACCACAAAGGGATGGTTAGGATTTGCTTTGGGGAGTTATGGCTCAAACTGTTTAGGAATTAGGGGAAAAACAAGGTTGTCCTGGTTAATGGACAAATACTTTAGTACAAAACATAATTTAAAGCAGTGTAAGGGAGATAAATCAAATACATCATTGAAATTATCTCACTTACACTGCTTTTAAATTATGTATAAAGTAATGGTTAATGAACAATTCAATTAAGATAATTTAAAACAGTGTAAGGGAGGTAATCCAAATACAACGTTTTGGTTACTTCCCTTACACTGCTTTTAAATTATGTTTAAAGAAATGCATATTTATAAAGGAAGACCAGTAAAAATATCTGCAAATGTTGCATCTTTTTTTTTACAAAAAAATCCATATGAAAGATTTGACACTATATTTTAAATTCTATTATAAAATAGATTAAGTTAGCACTATGGTAAATTTAAATGGGTAATTATGGTTGCAAACTCCATTGGAAATTTGAATTGATATTATGACCATATCTTGAGGGAAAGAATTTTTTGGGGGGTAAAAAGAAATTGTGGGGGGTCAATTTTTTCTCATTTCAGATTTCAGAAATTAAAAAGAATTATTCTTCAAATATTTTTTTTTTTTCAAATTTCAAGAAGTAATCTTTAATTTTACAGTATGGCGCATTAGATTTGTAAAATCTTTGACCACATTTATTTATTTGTTGTGCCTGGTCTAGTTTTCAAATTGGTCTACATTAAGGTCCAAAGGGTCCAAAATTAAACTTAGTTTGATTTTAACAAAAATTGAATATATGGGGTTCTTTGATATGCTGAATCTAAACATGTATTTAGATTTTTGATTTTTTGGCCCAGTTTTCAAGTTGGTCCAAATTGGGGTCCAAAATTAAACTTTGTTTGATTTCAACAAAAATTGAATATATGGGGTTCTTTGATATGCTGAATCTAACCATGTATTAGATTTTTATTTGTGGACCCCGCTATCAAATTGGTTCATATTGAGGTCAAAAGGGTCCAAAATTAAACTTTGTTTGATTTCATCAAAAATTGAATTATTGGGGTTCTCTGATATGCCAAATCTAACCGTGTATTTGGATTTTTAATTTTGGGTCCTGTTTTTTAAATTGGTCTACATTAAGGTCCAAAGGGTCCAAAATTAAACTTAGTTTGATTTTAACAAAAATTGAATTCTTAGGGTTCTTTGATTTGCTAAATCTAAACATGTGTTTAGATTTTTTATTATGGGCCAAGTTTTCAAGTTGGTCAAAGTTGGGGTCCAAAATTAAACTTTGTTTGATTTCAACAAAAATTGAATATATGGTGTTCTTTGATATGCTGAATCTAACCATGTATTTTGATTTTGGACATTGGACCATAATAGGTAAATTAAAAAAAATCAAGTTCTTAGACCACATTCTTTCTGTGTCAGAAACCTATGCTGTGTCAAATATTTAATCACAATCCAAATTCAGAGCTGTATCAAGCTTGAATGTTGTGTCCATACTTGCCCCAACTGTTCAGGGTTCGACCTCTGCGGTCGTATCAAGCTGCACCCAGTGAAGCATTTTATTTGTGGTTTGGTTTGTTTCTCGTGTACTATAATCAATAGGACCACTATAATTGGTGAATGGAATGATTGTATGGTTTACATGTCTGGCATGGTTCATCTGATCTTTACTTCAATTTCATGGATCATTGATGTGTATGTGATATTTGTAGTAAAACCTTAATATTACAGACTCTCTCAACTTTAATTCAATCATGATAAATGTGAGACATTTCAGCACGAACACTCTTGTATTGGCAAAATATAAATTAATTATACTTCTAAAAAGTGTATCAGCACGAAAAAGAAGTTAAAAAAAATTACACTCTGTTTAAAAAAGGGGACCAATCATATAATATTACTTATCGTTGGAAACGATATATTCTTTCTCACTTCATTGATTGGTTGTGTCGGCTTTATGGAGGTAAATATTTCATGCATGTTCAGGGCGAGAACAAAATAACAATACAGTAGGTAGTTTCATCTGATCTTGTCCTCATTTTCATGGTTCATTGGTAAATGTTATGTTTTCATGTTTATGTCCGTTTCCCAAAAGTTAACTGTATTTTGTGTATAGAATGATTGCAAGGCGTTATTACGTGTCTTTCTAACGGTGGCAGAGATCATCTCGTCTTGGCCTCATTTTCATGTTTCTAAAAAAAGTTCTATTGAATGGCAACTAGCGGAAAGGCAATTAAATGTAAATCTGTTGATAGTAATAGCTGGTTAAGTTAACTGAGAAAAACCTTTTTGAAATATGAATTGAATGATCCTGAACAATATTTAGTCAACCTAATTTCTAAATATCAATGGAAGAGTGAAATAACTAAGAAGATTCATAAATTTTGGACTCAGAAGATATTAAATCAAGCTAAACTTTATACCAGTTTAAAGTACTTGTCAGTGATATACATACCAGGACGTTGTCATCCTATTACTAATACAAACACTATGAATACAAGAGAAATTATCATAATTCCTACAAAACTTAAATTAGCTACTGGAAGTTACATTCTACAAGCATTTAGAGCCAAGTTTGAAAATAATTCAGAACTGTATGTAAATTGTGTAACGAAACAGAAGAAACTTTATCACATTTTTTATTAACGTGTAAAAGTCTAGGAAGATATTAGAAAACCGATTTTGGAAGATTTAATTGATTCCCGCAGTAAAGAGTTGGCTATTTTTAATATGAAAGATGAACAATTTGACATTTTACAACTGATTATAAATCCATTTGCTTATTTAGCAATATTTAGAAATGAAAAGGCTTGTACAGTGTTACCAGAAACTGAAATTAAGCCTGATTTTATCGACAAGAATATGATGTAAATATTGTACACTGAAATTGGCGGAAGAAACTTTTATTCATGTTTGAACCAGAATACTCAGAAGAGGTGTGCCTACAGGTTCATTGGTAAATGTTATGTTTTCATGTTTATGACCGTTTCTCAAAAGGTCAACTGTATTTTGTGTTTAGAATGATTGCAAGGTGTTATTACATGTCTGTCTTACGGAAGCAGAGTTTTCATTTTCATGGATCATTGGTCAATGTCAAGTTTCATGGTTAAGTCGTTTTCTCAGATTGCATGGAAATATTATATTGACAGGAACTACAAAAATTATTTTCAACCCGGGGAGCGCTGTAGAAAAGATATGGAAACTGTCTTATTGCGTGAACCCCTAAACTGGTCCGCCATTCGCACCGTTAGTGTAGCGATTAGTGAACACAACAGGGGTCCAGTTTACATGAACCCCCTGATTTTGTAGTCTTTCGGAATACCAGAAATGCCTACTGACTTCGGAATACATCTGTTCTTTTCTATGTCCGCCTGCGTAATAGGTAATTAATCACCATGGTTGTGCTCCTACTAAAGGAGGAATATAGAGAACATACGTACAATGAATATGTATTAGCGTTTTACAGTTGCTATAGAGATAAGCGTTAATCATAATTTCTTACAATCAAAAGATAGTATCAAGAGGAATATTTTTATTGATTTACTTCCTCATTTTTGTTGAGCCTGCGATTAACAGAAAAAGTAGGCGAGACACTGGGTTCCGCGGAACCCTTACGAATTTTTTATAAAT